ATCAAATCTGCTTAATCTCCTATCATTTTTTTTTAAGTATCAAAGATATTCTTGGTTTAGCTGATCATCATGTTTCGAGTCATTGAACCTAAAAAATAACAAATATCAATAAATAGAATTCGGAATTTATTCCAAAAATATTTTTCTTTGGGAATTATATAGGATTTCTCGTTAATATACTGACAAACTTTTAAAGGTGGTAGGTTCATCAAAATAAATTTTTTTTTGCTTAATAAAATAAAAATAATTTTATTGCCCATCAAATTAATCCATTTGCAGAACAAAATACATGAAATAAATGTTAAACATAATATTTCGACAGAAAATAATTTTTTCTACAAACGTCAAAAATAATAAGGTTCGCGCATTGACAACAATATGCGAAGTGACCCTTTTTTTCATTTTCCTTCGTTACCATGACACCGTGCGCGAAGTAGTGTGCGAAATACTTATTTCGCACACTGCATGTAAACTATATGGGAATCTCGACTATTTTTTTAACTCGGCTGCGCCTCGTTAAAAAAATCAGTTCTCGATTACCAAAGTAGCATTTCGCGCACTAGATACAAAAATAACTATTAGCAACAGCAAGAGAAAAAAAAAGAAAAGAAAGAATCCTAAATACATTAGCTACAAATTAGTACAACTAATGGTCGAAATAAATATCCCAATCAGAACAAAATTAATTAAAATTTGAGCACATTAGCGTTATAGGTGAATTTCTTCCCAAGTTCGTTCAAATACTTGCTGTATAAAATGTTTTATGATATCTAATGGCTGTTTGGGGAACATTAAAATTTATTTAATTCATCAAAAATAGTACATCAATAGTGTTAGGTAATATTTTATAAAAAAATGTAACACTGGAAACTACCCTTCTATTTTCGAAAGAAGCAGAGATTCTTCAATACCTCGAATGGGATACAGTTTATCTATTTTAAAAGAAAGGTACTTGAAAGATCGCCGCTGAACATTATCCAATGATCTTTTATAAATATTGTAAATAAGGTTCCAGATAAGAGATGCATATTCTAGCCTGGAACGAACTAAAGAAAAGTAAAGGATCTCCAAGCTTTAAGAGTTTGTAAAAGAACGAGTATTACGAATTAAGAACCATAAGCTTTTCAACGCAGAAGCAACGGTATTTTCAATATAATCCGAAAAAGTAACTTTTTAGATGAATAATATACCTTAATCTTCAATTTGTGCACAAGTCCGATAAAGGTAGGCTGTTAAATAAATAATCAAACTCCACTTTGTTAATACTTCTAGTATAGGAACATACTTTACATTTAGACACATTCATAAACAGCTTGTTTTCATTACACCAATTTTCAACAATTCCCAAGTTGGGTCTGTAAAAAGTAACAGTTTTGAATTGATGAGATTGAGGTAAATATTTTTAAGTCAGAAGCGAACAGCAGGTTAAATTTATTGCCAAGTCATTTATAAATATACTAAATAATAGTAGCCCCAGATTGGAGCTCTGTGGAACTCCAGATGTTGCTGTGGGGGGTGAAGATGAAAATCCGTTGTAAAAGACATAATTAAAACGATGATTTAGGTAAGATGAAAATAATCTCAACAGCGACTGATCAAACCCTAAGCTTTCCAACTTCCTTACAAGAATATTATGATTTTTAATTATTACAAAATACGTTATGGGCACGTTGTACAAAAAATATTCTAAACATATTTTAAATAACAAGAGTTTCATTTTTAACTAGTTATATTCAAAAACAAATGTCATTTTTAAAACTATGTTTAACAGTAACCGATGAGTATACAACAAGGTTCACAGTTTAAACTAAGTCTACATTTTAACTGCCTATTGTACAACCCGCCATATGTACAATTAAAAATTAATTGTATTTCTTTAAAATGCTGTTGATCAAAACCATTCGATAAAAAAATTAAAAAGTATTGGTATAAAGGTGGTTTTTATATCTATGCTATAAAGCATTGGGGCAGCATGTAGATTATCATTAAAAGTAAAACGAACCATAGACTTTCCATCATTCTTTACAGTTTTTTGAACCCATTTATGAAAACAGTTTTTGAAAATATTATCGTTCAGAGCTGTATTTCTTGTGATAAAAAAGTCGCCGTCACTTGTCATTGACAACGCCTTGAACTTGGCCTTAAGGTAGTTCACTCGCGGCAGTCGTACACGAAAATATCGCCCTATAGTGAATACCAACCGTTCGAGATTCTTAAATCTAAAAAAAGGTTATTTTTGTAACAGACTGTACACACAACACATGTGATCCTATATACAAATATGGTATTATATCGCGTAAAATCCATCCGGCAACGTCGCAAATATATTGTGAAACGTCAACTGTATTCCTAAAGTAAAATAAATGTAAATATCAAAATGTTTCATTGTCAGGATCAATTAATTGCGAGATAAAGGAAAATTTGTTAAGCAGAACGTACTCAACAAACGCAAAAAATCAATTTTGGCTATGAATAATGCAAAAAAATTGAGAAAGGAAACCCCAGCTTGAAAAATAACCCATGCAGTGGTTGCATCGTGGAATTACTATTGGGAAAACATTTAAAATGTTGCTGGTGTGAAAGAGTTCTTTCTCTTGAAAATATTACAAATGAAACACGAAACGGCCTTTATTTAATTTTAAATGTTAACTGTAATGAATGTAATATTAAAACTATAGTACATACGGACAAAGTTCATGCAACAAAAAGTGAAGTTAAGCATTCAGATGTTAACACTAAAGCAATTCTAGGTAAATTTAAAAAAAAATACATAAGTATTTGTTATGTTTATAATTTTTTTATTTTGGTCAAATTGCTTTAAATAAATTTCTTGCTGTCATGAACGTTCCTACGATATCATCAATACTACAGAAAATAATTAATTTTGTTTGTATTTTTTTATGATTTCCTCATACTAGTAAGTTAAAATTTTATATTCATTTTTTTGTGTAACTGTATTTTATTTTGAAGGCATGTTTAAATAAAATTTGTTTATTTAATTTTGAAGACATGCAATTAAATTTAAATTGTTAAATCATGTCAACCTAAAGTATAAACAACGTCCCTTCCCAGAAGGCCTCGATAAAGAGATAAATTTGACCTGTGCGCGGCAATAAAAAGGTTGGGAAGCACTGATCTAACAGAAATTTGAATTAGCGGGCGTTGAGTGTATCGGTTACAACGTTGCCAAGTTGTAATCACAATACGCCACTATGCGTCGACTGCTTTAAAAACATTTTTATTTTAAAAATCTATATTTCTTTATCAGAACGGTAAAAAAATTCAGCGTTTTTTTAGAAAATTTTATAACTTCTTGATTTACATTACATTAGTTTTTAAAAAATATGGTAAGTACCGTTTTCGAGATATCTTGAAATAAATGCAATGATTGTGTACATGACAGGGCTTTAAGAGTGTTAATTATGCACATTTTGATTGTTAATATCTCGTTTTACAGACGGTCAAATTTTTTTATAATTTTTAGGTACATAAAAGACACTTTCATTAACCTCATATTTCAATTTTATTGAATTCTTAAGAAAGGCCGTTTTACGAGGGAACTTCCTTAAATGCAGAACTTGCACATAAAATAGTACCTTCTCAACCAAAGTTTTATAAAATTTACACATTAAGTTCATTTTTCGAGTTGCAGTTAGCCGAGGTTGCAGTTTATAAGTATGAGATCAGAGTTAACACATAAAGTAGCCTTCTCTGTACATTTATTTGGTTTAAATAAGTAACACATAAAATAGTATTTTCTCGACCAAAGTTTTACAAAATTTACACATTAAGTAGCATTTTTCTAGTTGCAGTTAGCCGAGTTTACACTTTATGAGTATGAGTATAAGATCAGAGTTAACACATAAAGTAGCCTTCTATGTACATTTATTTGGCTTAAATGCAGAATTTACACTTAAAATAGTATCTTCTCGACCAAAGTTTTACAACATTTTTACATTAAGTAGTATTTTTCGAGTTGCCGTTAGCCGAGTTTGCAGTTTATAAGTATAAGATAAGAGTTAACACATAAAGTAGCCTTCTCTGTTTATTTATTTGGCTTAAATAATTTACACATAAAATAGTATCTTATCGACCAAATTTTTACAAAATTTACACATTTAGTAGCATGTTTCGCGTTACAGTTAGCTGGGCTTGCATAATGTAAGTATTAGATCAGAGTTAACAAATAAAGTAGCCTCCTCTGTATAGTTATTTGTTATTTGCAGAATTTACACATAAAGTAGTATCTTCCGCCACAAAAGTTTTTTCGCTCTGTATACGGCTTATATGAATGATGTATCTTTTGCATATTTATATGTCGTTTAAATTCGGAAATCTACAGTGAAGCAGTATCTTCTGCAAGCTAAAAATCAATTAAATTATGAAGAAAACTATTCTCAAACCTGTACTAGTATACGATCAGAGTTAACACATAAAGTAGCCTCCGCTGTACATGTCTTTGTCTATAATGCAGAATTTACACATAAAGTAGTATCTACCCTCATCAAAGGTTTGCGAAATTTGCACATTAAGTAGCATTTTTCATTGTAGACGGATTTTATAAATTACTGCACCGTTTACACATAAAGTAGTAGTATCTTCTGTATATTTATTTGTCGTCTAAATGCAGAAATTTACACATATAGTAGTATCTTCTGCAAGCTAAAAATCAGTTAAATAAAAAGAAAAACATTATTCTCCTACCCGTGCTCTTAATTCCTTCATTTATTTTTCAATTTATCGTATTTCTAATACAATTTTCGATAGTTTTTATCCATATTTTTATAATCGTTGGAATGTGGTCGGTGTTTCGATGTGGATCAGGCGACACAACAATTGGTAATGAGTAATATAGAGAGCCAGCGATAGAGAGTGGCGTAACATATGTATACTACATGGTTATCTTTATTTCCACTAACAAGGATGTGAAGCATAATAGTATTTACTATAATGTATTCTGAACGACTCATATAAAATAATATTTTTAATATTTTACATTTTTATAGGTACCATCGATGGTGCGCAATTACGTTGGCAACAAATACATAGATTGGGATTATAAGACTGAACCGGAACCAGCAGCTTGTCAGGGATATCCTGAAAAACGCTGTTTCTGGCCAAGGGGTAAAGTCCTTGGGGGATGCAGCGTACAAAACGGAATGATTTATATGCGAGGAACGCCTAAAGGTATTTATCATTTATTAATTTAATGTAATTTTTCTCGTCTAGGTAGTAAATATATAATTTGATCAGATGATTAATGAAGTACAATGGATACAAAAGCTGACTTGGTCATTTAGTAGTTAGAAGGTACATTTATTTTTAAATATTGAAAACTAAATAATTTACTTTTTGAAGAAAATGTTATCAAAAAATAATATGAGAGTTGCTACTAACAAAAAAATTTACAACTATAAAAGTTCCTTCATTGTCTTTTAAAAATAATTCTCTTGTACATTTTATACATTTTGTCATCCAAATAAATCATTTTATTCCATTCTGAAGTCTCATCTTTATAGAAAAAATATTTATTAAAAGTTATTGTTAATGTAAATTGTTATTCAATAGTTTAAGTGATACCAAATAATAATGGACTTGGAACTTATTTTTCACAATGTTAAATTTTAACCTACCTATTTAAAAATTGCAATTCACTACTACTACTACTACTACTACTACTACTACTACTACTACTACTACTACTACTACTACTACTACTACTACTACTACTACTACTACTACTACTACTTTATGATTTTATATAATTAATATAAAAACAGAACCTTTGTTTAAATAATTAAAATATATTTCCAATAATTTAAAATATAAATTTTTTATTTAATATTCAATCCAATGTGGGATTGTATTTATTTATAGATAAATAAAATAAGTAAATAAGTAAAGGTACGAGTAAATGAAGAAGATGGAATAGTCCAGAAATGTCTCGAAATGTCATTCGTTGTCATTGAAAAATTGTTCGAGAAGGTTCTAGAAGGTTGAGTCGACGACCTGACGTTAGAGTTTCAGTTTTATGAGAGACGTTATATATTAATGTTATCAGTTGGATAGTTATTGTTGAGTTATTATAAAAGTTGAGTTGCAGTAAATTGTGATACCAAAAATCTGCGTAACATTGGTGGGATATATAAGTGGTGGGATATATAAGAGAAAAGTTACTCAAGCATTTTATTCATGGTAAATACTATATCCACTACGCACGAAACAGATATGGATACTTCAGGCCCACCAGCATGGTTTTTGAAGATGGAAGAGGAGAGAAAAATACGAGAAGAGGAAAGGGAAAGGCATGAGGTGGAAAAGGAAAGACGTAGGAAGGCCGAAGAAGAGGAAAAGAAAAGCCGTATAAAGGAAGAAGAGGAGGAAAAGGAAAGGCGAAGGAAGAAGAGGAGGAAAAGGAAAGGCGCAGGAAGGAAAAAGAGGAGAAAAAGGAAAGGCGTAGGAAGGAAGAAGAGGAAGAAAAGGAAAAGCGTAGGAAGGAAGAATAGGAGAAAAAGGAAAGGCGCAGGAAAAAGAGAAGGCAGAGAGGCATCAAAAACTCAAGTAGAAATAATGAATGCTTTGCTACAAATCCAGGAAACCTTCAAGCAAGAGATTGGTCAGCTCATAATTAGAGTAGATCTTTTAGAGCAACAACAAGAGCATTTAAAATCTAAGTTAGAATAGCAGCAAGAGCATTTAAAAACTAATTTAGAGATAATTTAAAACAACAGGAAAAGGCTAGAGTAGAGTTCAAAAGGCAAATTAGAACTGAACTAGTTGAGTTAGGAAGAAGAATTCGTAGCCTAGCTTCGATAAGCAACAGAGAAACTGAAAACACTGGCTTGTCCTCATCTGTAATCGAACCAAGCCATATTCAACACCCAGTTTCACAAATCCATATTAGCAAAATCATTAAGCCACCTACGTTTGATGGTCTGACAACATAGGAAACGTATCGCCTCCAATTTGAAGCTGCAATTAGAACCAATGGATGGGCTGAAAAGGAGATGGCGGCTACATTGATAGTATCGCTGCAAGGACAAGCAGCAACCGTGTTACAGTTACTTCCTCGAGAAGAACCCAGTTATTCATCTCTCGTCCTAGCTTTGGAGACAAGATACGGCCAGCAGCATTTGAAACGGGTATTTCAAAGCCAGTTAAAGGTTCGCAGTCAGAAACATAATGAGAGTCTACAGGAATTCGAGGTCGATATAAAACGATTAATTCACCTGGCCTATCCACAGACACCCAAAGAATTCCAAGAATAAATCGGCATACAAGCATTTATTGATGGACTACAAGATGTGGAAATGCAGCAAGCCCTTCGTCTACAACATCACAAGACACTGAGGGAGAAACTGATTGCAGCCCAGGAATATGAAGCAGTAAAACTCATATCCAGATCTTCTCGCGCAATAGTAAGAGAAATTAAATCCCAGGAAAGTGAGGAGGCCAATGCTAATGCTATTTCCCAAATTTTAAATATTCTACGAAATATGCAACGAAACAGCCAAAATGGAATCAGGAGATGCTTTAATTGCGGAAGAATTGGGCATTTTCAAAGAACCTGTAGAAGCATGACTCATTTTATAAATCGAGAATCAGCGAATGAGACCGGAAAATCATATACATCAATCTTTTCAAGCCCATCACTAAGACCAACAAGAATTAAATACAGCAGCTATGCGTCCCGAAGAAGCCAATCACTCACACGGAGCCGGCTTTCTAAAAATAACCAGAAAGTAGAGCATCGAAGAGGTCTCCATAGCAACTCAGACATTCTCTTCGGGCAACCTTGTTTAGAGGATCAATGCTGGTATGGTAAAAGGCTCAAAGAACTAGAAGAACCGGTTGATAAAGTTACTCTTCGGGCAACCACTATCAAGCCAGAGGGCGACGAAGAAGAAATCACACTTGAAAGTCTGAGACAGGAACAGAAGAAAGACAATGATTTAAAGGTTTTCCGAGAATGGCTCAAAAGTCACACCTACTTGACAAGAGATAGCCAAATACAGTAGAACTATAAAAGGCTACTGGACCCAGTGGGATTCCGTATATCCTTACGATGGCCTATTGTACCGGAAGTGGGAGAGCCCTGATGGAGTACATGTAGTCCGCCAAGTAATACTGCCGAGGTCACAGGTGAGAAATGTATTGGAGGAGCTTCATAGCAGCCGTTCAGGAGGACACTTTGATACTAAAAGTACACTGGCACGAGTTCGGGAAAGATTTTATTGCCGACGGGATGTAGTAAATTGGTGTAAAAAATGTAATATATGCAATGGCAGGACAAAGTTCTATGGATTCGCTCGGGAACGAGACTGGAAGCCCACACCGATAAAGCAGAAGCTAGAATTAACAGGCGTGCCACAGGTACACATTTTGAAAGGGACGACAAGGTATGGCTATGCAATCCCAATCAGCGACGGGAACTGGGAAGGCCCCTACTCCGTCCTTAAGGAAAATCAACGACCTGATCTGCCGCATTCAACTGTCAGCGGGAAGTAACTCCAACGTAGTTCACATTGGAAAGATAGCTCCATATCATGGTCCAAATCCTCCCCATTAGTTCCAACTAGGTCCCAGTAATTAAGTTATTCGGAGCGAATAACTAGAGAGAAGGGATCAATGTTACGCAGCACCCTGCAGCGTACTGCGGTCGTCATAAGTAAAGGTACGAGTAAATGAAGAAGAATAGTCCAGAAAAGTCTCGAAATGTCATTCCTTGTCATAGAAAAATTGATCCAGAAGGTTCTAGAAGGTTGAGGCAAGCTATATAAGTCGACGACCTGACGTCAGAATTTCAGTTTTATGACAAACGATATATGTTAATGTTATCAATTGGATAGTTATTGTTGAATTGAGTTATTGTAAAAGTTGAGTTGCAATAAATTGTGAAACCAAAAACCTGCGTAACAATGTTTTCATATATTTAATAATCTTCTAGACGTTTTTTTCTAAAAGCCTTGATCTACTTTATTTTCACTTTTCATTGTGCAAATTTTACTAAATTTGAAATGTATTGATACACAGTAGATCACAGTAGCTGTTTAAGAAAGAACTTGTTTATATTTTTATCAATTTTACGCGTTATATAAATGATAAGTTATTGATTTTTTTAAAAAATATTTTGTAATTTTTCTTTCAAAAACAAAATTTAACGAACACAGAGTTTATGTTTTAGAAGTTTTAATAATAAAAATAGTTTTTACAATGATAACCCACAGCACGATATTGAATTCGGTAGTTGGTTACTTTTTATCTATAATTAAATAGGTTAAATACAAAATTGTTATAATGTTTATTTTAAATTTAAGTTAACAAAAAAATATACATGTTGATATGGAATTTATTGTGTAAGAATTGTGTTTTTTTTTGGATTGATTGGAATATATAAAATTTCCAATTTGGAATGGATTCAAGATTCTAAAAAAAATAATAATTTAATAATTAAAAATTTTTTCTGTTGTTTCTTATCTATTGTTTTTTATGCGTAGTTCTGATAATTTTTGCAAGAAGAGTATTATTTAAAGTAAAATAGTTTAGGTCGAAATATGGTTTTTCCTATTTAATTCTGAAATACCTTTCTGATAAATAGGATTTTAATAGTTCAGAGTATTGATGTGACAGGAACATGTTCAGTTTTTGCAGCATTCTTGACATACTTTGTCGAAAGCCTGAGCCACATCCAAAAAGACAGTGGGGCAAACTTTTTTTCTTCTAGGGACTTCTCGATGATATCTGTGATTTTATGAACTTGGTGAAAGGGTATTATGTCCTTCTCTCCTATTAAAGGTTTCAATCTCTTAAGAAGCAATTTTTCATAGAGTTTCGGTATAAAAGGTAACAAGGAGATTAGTCTATATGATGTAATTTCATGGGAAAGTTTACCTGGCTTAGATATTATTATAACTTTTGCCACCTCCCACATCTGTGATACGTACTTTTAGCTAAAGGACACATTGATAAGATTGGTCGTTGTGTTAATAGCTTCCCGTTGAAGTATTTCAAAAATTCAAGGACTTTTTTCTGATATATATTTGTTTGAATTTTCATATGAACCTTTTTGGAAAAGCAGATTTAACGACTGCGTCTTCTTGTGCTAGTTCCATCAAGTCTTGAAGATCTTTACTATTATTGGGTTGGAAGGTACTTTATAAATGTTCCACAAATCTGTTTGCTTTCTGCAAAATGTTTCGGGCACAGCTCCTATCTTTATTTCTGATTGGTGGGTTATGCATTGTAGGCCTTTTTAATAGTTTGGTGGCTTTCCAGAGTGACTATTCGGTAGTTTTATCGTTAGTTCATTCACATAAGTATTTGCCATTCGACTCATTAATGCGCCTTATTTCACTTTTAGATGTTATGTTGCGTTGTTTAAAGTTGTTTTATTATCTGGTGCTCTAGACTGAGATAAGATTTTTGATCTCTTTTGGATAATCATCACCATTTAATCTCAGGAGTGTTCTTCCAAGCTGCTTGTTGAATATTTTTAACAACCTATTGGTCTAATTGTTCCTTAGTTATTAATGGAATCGAGATATCAATTAGTTCTTCTAGGTTGGCTTTGAAGCTTTTTCAGTCTGTGCCTATGTTGGCTAGTTTAGGTAAATTTTCTTGTTTGATTGCAGTATCACTCAGTGTGAGAATTATGGGAAAATTATCTGAGTTCCTGTCCCATGAGTCTTCTATGTCCAAATAATTTGATACGATATTGTTGATTATAAAAAAATCTATGAGATCGGGAATTTCGTTCGAATCTGTGGGCCAGTATGAAGGCTTTTCAATTGACATTGTTTGACATTTATGTTCATGGCATGATGCTAATAGTTCTTTGCCATACTATGAATCTGTATCCCTATCTATCCAGAAAGTCGAGGCATTGTTGCTTCTTTATAGCCTATCTTCGTGAGCTATATAGGGGAAAGAGGTCGAATATCGATCACTTAAAAAATATTCAAGACAAAAGTCAAACTTTTAAAAAAATAAGGTATTTTTTGCATGGAACGTAAACTTTATTCATTTTTTAACATAATGACATGAACAATTTCTGTATATTTTGATAAGAAACATTTTAAAAATTTGAAAAAAAAAACTATTACCTGATCGATATTACCTACCTATGGTCGGGTAATATCGATCAACATAAAGGGTAATATCGATCATAACCTATTGGCATTCAACGCACGAATCCAAATCTTCTGGACGGGATACTTCACTGCAGGCAGCATGCAGCCAGGTGCCACATGCCCTAAAGCGCCACCAGAGTTCATCTTTCCCTGGTTCGTCACATATTGGGCATAAGTTGTTCTCCCCATGTTGTTGTTTACGTTTTTGTTTTTTACCTGTTGCTCTTTTAAATCCTGCCGATTTTTCTTTTTGAAACAATTTTTTTGTAGCCTCATCCACTTTCTTTTTTTCTTTCTTTTCTTCCTTCTCTTCCAAAAATGCTTGCAGCGGGGTGGCTGTAAGTATTTGAGACTTTTGTTTCCTCCTTCTCTTAGATTGTGGTTTTTCTGTTAACCGGGGTGTCGGATGAAAGTCTTCAAAAGATGTGCCTAAGTAATTTAACGGTTTTATCTTCATCATCAGTTGCGTTCTCGTCGAATACTTCTGTTATCGCTGATAAAACACTATCGCTAGAGGAAGAAGTTCTTCTTTGATACCTCCTTCTCTTTAATTGAACATACGTCTCCTTGTTGCAGACTTCTAGAGGCGGTGTAACATGACGCATATGTAAGTCTGAATCTCTACTAGTTCCAGGTTTTGGATTAAAATAAATATCTTCCGGAGGTTCGCTGGGGTCTTCGGGAGGTTCGCTGGCTTCTTGCCTGAACTATGGAATTTGCATCTTCTGTTAGTTCAGTAAACTCTTCTTCTCCGAATACGTTTCTGTCTAATGGGAAAATTCCCGTATTTTTAAATCCGTTGATACCTTTCTCTTTAGAAGTGATACGATTGTATGCTTTAGCAAAAATCTCAGCGATATCAGTCACGTCAATTTTGTTGTAATGATAGGATTTCATATGGAGATCGCATTCTTTGCTATATGCTGTCTTCAATGAACTGAAAAATGTGACGTCCAGTGGCTGGAGTCGATAAGAGGTGTGTGGAGGAAGCGAAACAAGAATGATCCCATTTTCACGACAGAACTTGTACGATTTCAAAGAGCAGTGAGTGGAATGATTGTCTAAAACAACTAGAACAGCATTTTCCTTAGAGGCATTCACAAATTTTGCGAATGTTTCAGCCATTCCAGGAATAACTCTTCTGTAATCCATCCTGATTTGGAGCAGCGGTAGATAGCATCTGTGGGACCATTTTTTTCCAGGATGTTATTCAAGCGTTCGCGTTTAAAAATAAACATTGGGGACACAAAGTCGCCTGCCGCACTCATACAACATACAACAGTCAAAGTCTGGCCTCTTTCTCCACTTGTAATCGCACCCACCTGTTTTCTGCCCTTTTTCGCCAAAATTCGAGGGGGTTTATTTACCCCACTAATTCCAGTCTCGTCAACGTTATAAATGCGTCTTGCAGGAAATTTATATTTTTCAAAGACCAGTTCTAAATTGTCGTACAAGCGGTTCACATTATGTCGATTAAATGCGATTGCCCGATTGATACTCGTGGCTTCAGGACGTCTTAAAGAAATTTTCGGGTGTCGCTCTAAAAATCCACGCAGCCAATCTTTACCGCAGGTTTTCTTCTCAGCATTGAAATTATTTCGTAAGTGATTTGCAACGGCATATTCGAAAGCAAGCCGTTTGATTGTACTTGGCGTCAACCCGTAAAACATGTTTGACAATTTCAAAATGTGATTTGCAGTTCCGTCTCCTGATCTTCATTTAACACAGGCTTCCTTCTTAATTTTATCTTCTTACTAGGATATCTGTTGTTTAATCTATCGCACAACGTAGCATACGGTATTCCATTTAATTTTGCTGATTTCCTAATGGAATGAGTCTTCTGCTCAACCGCCTTCATAGCCCTCTTCAAGTCTTCCTCTGACCAAGAAGAGCGATTTGTTCGGTAAACATATTTTTTTGGCATCTGCAAACAAATAAAAATTAATGAGGCCAATTTCGATCACTGGCGGGAAATATCGATCATACCGATCGAGATTACCCGCTTATGAATGACATTGTTTGGACACATACAACTCCCAACATCAATAAGATAAAAATTCCGTTTCTATGATATAAAATACCTTTGATTACCATGTTATTATCAGCACTAAAGTAGCTTTGAAATATCTATCCTTAACAAGTACATACCTTATCCAATAAACTTGAAAAATAAGAAAAAAACCGCACGAAATCTGTTTACTATCAGTCAAACTCGACGTTACGATGAAACTGCCCGCATATAATATGGGTGATTTGTATTAACCTTGAGTGATGGCTATTCTATTATTTTGAAGGTCGGATGCGTTCCGAAAAAATAAGGTGATCGATATTGCCCGCTGATCGATATTCGACTCCTCTCCCCTAAAGCTGTGATCACATTTTTTTTTAATATTAACAGATGTAGCCTGCATTTCTACCGTTTGGTAACCCATTTTTTGATAGTGTTAAATGGTTTTCTTAAATTATAACTGCACTTCCGCCTTTTACCGTATTATCTAGATAGATTGTATGGTACAGTTTATATCCTTTAAATCTGATGAATGATTTTTTTGTGAAATGTGTGTGCAGTAATCAGACAGACATCAATTTTTTTTTAATTCTAGAACTGTTTACAGCTCTCGTTGATGCTACAGTAGTCCATTTGCGTTTAGGAATCGCTCCTTGAGCACGATGTTCCAAATTAAATATATAGATTTTTCTACATGTTTGCTTCAGCTACTTGTTTGTTTTCATTATCTATTTGAGTTGCTTTTGTGTTTCTTTTCTATTAATATTTGATGACTCATTTTTATAATTCATGTATTGGCTGTTTTCCCGATGGGCTTGCATAGTCAAGTTTGGTTTCTTCGATTGCTTATTTTTATTCTTTGAGATTTTTTGGCGGTAATTAGCCGGGGGCCTTCTCCACAATGGTCACACTTTAGAGGAGCATTTTTTAGTTCATCACCCTCAACTGTTAAATGTTTTATTGTACATCTAACGCACCTTAGTGCCTTTGAACAATATTTTTGTGTATCCCTATGCCTGACAAGATTTAAATAATTGGGGAAATAGTTTAGTTTTTCTAATAGGCTGAATGTCAATTTTTATATCCATGATATCTTTTGTACTAAATTATAGAACAAAACTATAATTAAAAGTATTAATATTCATTCTTTTTTTTTAGATTACGATAATTGGGCAGCCGCTGGTAACACTGGCTGGAGTTACAAGGAAGTCCTGCCGGTCTTTAAAAGTTTCGAGGACAATAAAGAAATAGGAACTTTGGTGGAAGCTGAGTATCATGGAACTGGAGGGCCATTGACTACTACAAGATTCATCGATCAACCTCCTTTAGCCTATGACATCTTAAAAGCATCATTGGAAATTGGTTATGAACATAGTAAGGATCTAAATGGATGGCAGTATACAGGATTTTCGATCACGCAGTCAAACACTAGGTGAGAATAGTAGTTTGTGCAACAAGAGTGGGTATAATGGTCATATTGTCTAAGTGTAACATGAACAATCCACTCGAGTTGTACAGTTTATTTTTTCCACGACCCACTAACGAAAATCTACAAATTTAAAAAAATATTTTTGGTTATTAAGAGTGAAATAACTAATTTTAAAATAATTAATAAATTTTACTAATTTATAAAATAAAATAAACATAAAAGGAAGATTTCATTTTAGTCTCCAGTCTATATTCGATCCCAGGCTTTCGCGTCGATGGTAGAAGCTGTGTCCTCACCTCCACCGTTAGTTTTAGGATTTCAGTTTTAATACTCGTAATTAAATTAGTTTCATATAGTTTGATTAAAATTTAATTTCTTTTTTCAAAATGTGGACTAATTAAAAATAAAATTGCTATTATTCATAGATTCTACACAAATATAACTCATTTTAATGTATCGTTGATTTCAATAACTAAAAAATATACTGACAATTAGTTTGACAGAATTGTCACTTTATTAAAATTTTAAAAATAATAGTAGTTGAGTGTCCAAACTATGAACTGTGATTGGTGGATTTCATTTTTTGCAGTATTCTCACTAGCTAGAATAGCATACTTTTTCGTTTTGTAGTTTGCGCGTAGATTAACTAATAACCATGTAAAATTAAAAAAAAATATATTTATATTTATATCGATAAATTTTGTTTAATCTTCGATGGTAATAATTTTTACTAGAGTGAGGACGTAAATTGTACCTCACTCTTAAAGAGACAGGAAACAAAAAAGAGGTGAAATTAGAGAGATATTTTGATATTTTTGCTAAAACGAGAAGCAACTTACTTGAGACATAAGATACAGCCAATGACTATCTTTAAATTTTCTAATGGAAAGTAAGGTCATGTGATACCTCATTTAAAGATATTTTAATACATCTGATCAGCCTGATACAAGTTTTTCGTTTGGATTTAATCATGTTTTCTTTTGACAGATAAGTCAGACCTAATTTATTTACGGCCGTTTGTACCGACGTATTTAAGAATTACTTAAAGTTGAGTGGGATTTAAATGACATACTTTCATTCCACCGTCAGTTAAGGAGCCCTGTTGAAACACTTAAACTATTCTTAATAAAACCGTCAAATTTCGAGACTTAAACATTCCTTAACTACTTTCACAGTGACATTTTTTATAATTATAACAAAAATATGGATTCCAAGGATAATTTTATATTTAATGATGAACTGGAAATAACTGAAATTGCTGATTTTGGATTTCCAAGTCGGTTGTATAATAGAACTAATTATTTCGACGAAATGGATCATTTGACCTTCTTTAAAAGGTTTAGATTGTATAAAGAAACTGTAATGCAAGTTCTGGATCAAAATTGAAAATATCACAGATTCAAGTTTTTTATTTTTAATTATTTTGTTCAATCTATTTCTATATTCTACACAGGGTGTCCCGAAATTGGACAGTCATATTTTAACAACGTAATCTACATCCTAAAGTAGAAGTAAAAGTTCATATAAACATAGGTCCGAAAATGTTTCGTTTTCGAGATACATGGTGTTGCAAGTGAAGTCCTGACGGCACATTTTTGTAAATATTTTCTAAAATTTCTTTAGTCACCGATTTTCCAAAGTTAAAAAAAATAAAAGTTCTGCTTCCACAGGCCTACTAATTACTGTTTACACTTTTGAATAAGATAACATCAATTTATCATAAAATTTTTAAATGCTTGAAAATGGTGCTTCCTAGCGAGATGCAACAAAAGTAGCTTTATTATAAAGAAAACATTGGTTTTCCAAATTTTATAGAAAAAAATTTTAAAAACTGTCAACAAAAAAAACTAGTGCTGGTTTGCAAAAAGAATTTATATGAATCTAGCCAATTTACAATTGTTTAACGACTATCAAGATATTCTAGATTTAATAAATTTCGGATTTCCTAGTCGCATTTATGAGAGATCAAATTATTTTGAAGAAACGAATAACATTTTTCAAACGGTTTAGATTCTATAAAGAAACTGTTTTACATCTGTTGGAACAAATAGAAGTAGATCTGGAATACCCTAATGATAGGTAGGTACCTAAGTTTATGTTTTACAACCAGTCGATATGAAGTTATTTTTTTATTTTAGAAACAATTGTGTTTCACCAATTAACCAACTTCTTTGTTGCCTTCGTTAAAAAATTAACCTCTTTTAATTATTTTAAAAAAAGAAATTTAAAATTATGGGACAAAACCAAACAGTATATAAATATGTAGAAAATCAACAAAACATCTAGCACTAATTAGCACTCTTTTAGATCCATATACCATGAACCAAAAAATGTTAGGTTAAAATCGTCAAGTTACAAGGATAATCAACAAAAATCCCTAGAAGTCACCAGAAAATCTAGCCTCTACGCGGGGTTTGCTGGATTAGTAAAGTTAAGGAATCATTCGTTCGGTGCAACGCCTCCGCATTTAAGGGTCACTTATGATTTAAGGGTTACTTAACTATACCTCTCTTAAGAAAGTGTCGGTGCAAACGGCTATTAGGCCCGTATTTATAAACATATCTCAGCTGAGTCGAACTTGGCTGAGTCGTTCTTGAACGAAAATCGAAGTTCGGTTACAACTTCTCTAAAGTTCCAGATTGTTCCGGTGTTACAGTGACATTTAGGAATAGAGAGTAGCAAATCTGTAACTGTAGTACATTTACGAATTTGTTACAACCCATCTCTAAATTCCCGCGATATAACCGAACCTCGATTTTTGTTTAAAGTCAATTCTGAATCAGCTGAGATCTGTTTCTAAATAAGGGCCCTAGTGGACATGAAGCGTTTGTAAGAAAAAAATATCGTACTAAAATGTATCTAATAATCTCCCAAACGACTTTGTTTAACTTTCTGTGGATGAAATAGCTACTGAACGTGAGACCTATACTTGAGTATCTAAGCGGACAGTGTATAACATTATTAAAGAAGATACAGAAGTCTCACGTCTGAAAAAGCCCCCAGGTACCCTATTCTCAAACCCAGGAGAGTGCTCCTCCACGAGTGTTCCATCACCAGCGTTGCCAGATTGCCAAAATCAAATTGTTGTATCATGGTGTAAAATAAAAGATTATACAATACACATTTCTTATACAGGGTGTTTTATAGAAAGAACAACAACATATATATTTTTTTAAGGTTTAATTCATAACCATGTAGGTGCATATTAATTGATTTTTGGGAAAGGTGATAACCCTTAAATATGTGTACAAGCTTTAAAATATATAAAGTAATTTATTTGTTCGAAGATATTCCATTTTAAGGAAAGTACAAAAACCACGGTAGAATTTAACTATTTTTTTTTAGTACATAATGCTCTTACCACCTTTTTATGAGATTTGAATTTTAAATTCGAGATACAGGGCGTTAAAGTGGAGAATTGCTGATTTTAGGTATTTTTTCTTTAAACTGAAAAGCTTAATTGACTTTTTTTCTTAGTTTCCTTAGTATTCTATATCTGCTGTCTCCATAAAAAATAGTGTCATTACATATTTCCAGCAATTTATCAGTGACACCTTTTTGTCATGGACAATCAGAGCTGTATCAGCGACAAATTGTATAACATATTTTTGTGAATTTATTAGATTGCTTAGAGGAGTATACATATATCATAAAAAAATATTTTGTAGAGCAAAGTTAACAATCGTGAACCCTGAGTGAGTCCTTGATGTATAGTAAAGTTTTATTATATAAAAATTATTACTTTTATAGAAATGGTGTTCGTCTAAGTACCGCCAGAGCATACTTAAGACCACAAAGATTTAACCGAAACCTCCATGTAATGTTAAACTCGACTGCAACTAAAATAATTTTAAAAACGCAAGGAACACAGAAAATCGTGGATATTGTAGAATTCGTCTATAAAGGGACAACTCACAGGGTCAAAGTTAATAAAGAAGTTGTTCTAGCAGCAGGAGCTGTTAATTCACCTCAGATTTTGCTGCTATCTGGAATTGGTCCTAAGCAAGAGCTTGATAGAGTAAGTAGTTGAGTCGTAATTATTTAGGAAATCTAAATGATTTTATCCCTCTTAACCGAAAAAAATATATTCAATTAGAATTACAAATTCTATTTTGTAACCAGAAACTTCAATTTGCTAAAGGTTCATAGGTACATATTAAGAAAAATAAATTTTTGCTTTTAAATAACCAAAAAAACATTACCCACCTAAATATTATGTAGTCGTTATTCCTATTTTTGTAACCAAGTCAAATTTTATGTGATTTGAGTTAATATGACCAAGTCACTTATTAAAGACAGATCTATAAAAAAGTCACCCAAGTCATATTTACACTGCCTGAAAGTACTAAATAAATTGGATCAATATGACTTGGCCATTTTTTATTTGGCAGATCTGGCCCCTAATAACACCGATCTGCCAGGAATATCCCATTTATGTTCCATGTATGTTTCTATGTTTCTGACATAAATGGTACGTCCCTACGATGTCTCTAAAGAAACGTTTCTGGAATGATTTCTCAAGAAAGTTTTAGAAACATCGTATTTATTTATAGGTATTTTATTTTCGTTTTAAATATTATTTTGAAATTTTTGAAATTATAAAATTATTGCAATCACCAGAAATCTACAATAATATATTTCAATATTAAATTTAAATAGTTTGAACAATATTTTTATTTTACAAGACAACTGCTACAGGTCAAATTTATTTTATTATTTCCTTCAAAAATGAGTGCAAAGCAAAGAGATGAATATATCCTTCCTTCTGATTCAGCAGGAGAGTTCGGTTAATTCTCCGCGAGCTAAAAAATACACTATTGACAGAATCCCTCGTGATTGAATCTATTTCTTTGCATTGAAAGTGTAGCACTGAGCTACAGTACTTATGAAAATGTCGTTTCATTTATACAAATTGTATGGATGGAACGATATTTTAGATGAAAAGGAATAGACCTCACATTTGATTTGCTCGCGGAGTAATAACGACACACGTATAATAGATCCAATGATAATTGACATATGACAGACATTTCAATAATGTTGAGAGTTGAAAATAAAATAGTGTTTGGCCTCGCTTGTAATAAAGTTTGGATGAGTTTCAAAATAATAAACAACTTCTCTATAAAGTTTTAAATAAACTAAAAGTGATAATAGGAGGCCGGATTCAAGTGTATAGTTCTTGACTTTCTGAGGGCTATGGTAAAGCTACATGAAAAATCACTTCCAATTCGAAGTTTGATCAGGCTTGGCAAATGTAGAAACAATCGTTTTACGTGCAAGCTATTCAAGCCAAAATGAAGAAGGTAACTTAATTTCCTTTAATAAAATGTGGCTTTTATACATTCTAGTAATTATTTCTTTATTTGTTAACTTTAAAAATAACTATTTTAGGTATTGTATTTTGAAATCCAAGGTAGCAATATCAGAAAAATGTCAGAAGATGCATAGCTCCCCTCAAGGTACGAGTTGTGTAAGTTGTTTTCATGCACTGGAAAAAAGAAAGTCGCCAAGTTAAAAATAGCTAAAGCCATTATGGGAATTATTTTAACTTAATATAAATTGTTTATATTGTCATTTAATTAAAACATTTTCAGATATGGTAAATTGATAAACCAAAAAGAAATTAAAATAGATGCATGGTTGTAGAGGGCTCCGGAAAGAAATAGACGCAATGAATCAAAGCGCAATAAATAACAATTTTTATTTTTTGTAAATTTTTATTTTTCAATTAAAATGGAAAAAAGTAAAAGATTTTATTATCCTACTAAAAAAACGTTTAGGTAATTTCTGGAACGTTCCAGCAATGGTATAAAAACTTGCCTAAGACGTTTAAGCAACATCGCAGGATGTTCCACAAACGTCTCTGCGAAACGCCTCTAATACGTTACAAATGATGACATGATCATTACCAGAAACATCCCAAGTACGTTCGACGGAAAATAAGAAACATGACAGAGACGTTTCTAATGTCCCAATTGCATGTTTCTGGAACGTTCGTGAAACAATACTGTGCAATTAGGAACTTTACCAAGAGATTTGGTCATGTTAACTCAAATCTTATAAAATTTGGCTTGGTGACTTTTGGCAGTAAGTCCACGATATACTTCTAACAAATCCAACTGTAAATTGCCATCTGAAAAGCAACGAAAACAATAATCAACATTAAAATTCCATAATATTCCTAACTTGATTTTTTTTAAATACTTCAATTTTTACTCCAGCTCGCCATTGCTGATGAAAAAGTTTTGACAACCAAAAATAGTAATAATTATTTGTCGTTCCTCAAATTTTCATATTACATCCTAAAATTTGATCTTCAAATAAATGTCAATTTTGGCTTTTAAAATCAAGGTTTTCGTTGTATGAACTGTCGGTTTGTTAACCTTATGAAGACTAGAGATAAGAAGACGAATCAACATACTCAAAATACGGCCCCAAAAAACGCATGCGAATTGAGCTTCTATAATTAACCGCATGGGCGGTGGTACTGCATACCTCCGAGCAATTACTAATAGAGGGAGCGTTAAAACGAGTTTGTAGGCGATTGTTGTGTTAGCAACATCTATAGAGGAAGTGAGGAAGCGGGCACAAGGGGGAAGGTAAACATCCTTCTTGTTCAGTGGCGTATCATTTATCTATAAAAACACACATTGTCCAAACGTTTTAATTGTAAAAAAAATTTTACTATATTTAAAAAGAATACCGTCTTATATGTGTCTAATGCAGGAAATGAAACAAAATCACTGTAACGGTCTAATTTTTTCAATTGAAGAATAAAACCTTAAAATCAATTTTATTATAAATAAATACAGTAGCGACTAGTTTCGGCCTTACAGAAACATCTTCAGGCCTGTATACAATAATCTTTAATTATTATAATAGGTTGGTCACTTACGAATAACATTAAATAGTATAAACCACAAAAATGGATCCATATTGTAGCGTTACAGCATTATAGAATTAAAGCTGTGAAAATAAAAGAGCAGTGCAAACGTAACTAAAAATAAGAAAACTGAGTACGGAATCTACAAGAGATGAGAATGAGCAATTACGAATGCATTTAAATTGCTCGGGATAACAAATAAAGCTGATAATGTAGTGGTATAGTCCCCGTCAAAGAAGGTCTAGATATGTTAAAGAGGACGGCGTTTTCTCTGTAAATCTGGAGAATGTAAGGATGAAGGAAGACGAATCTTGCTGGCTCAGGTGTAGATGAAAGCTTCAGTAAATATCGTCACTTTCGTCTAATTTTTTATTCTCTCTCACCGGCACCGTTTCGGCTTTATCTTCGAAATACATTTTTAAAAGGAAATAAAAGTAATCATTCATACAAGCATATAATAAAACAATATGAATTTATTATATTTAGTAAGCTAATAAACGTTTGTTTCAATGAAAAAAAAACATATATGGGAATATAAGAAATATATAAATAGATAAGATTAATATCAAAATCAATTTGAAAATACAACAGATAATGAAATGAAATAAATTAATACAAGTACAAATGGAAAGTTAATAACATACCTTCTAAAAGTAACACATTTTAAGTAGATATATGTTTAAAGAGTTTATTCCTGAACATAACTAATCTAACGTTTTTTCCTCTTTTTAATATTATGAGGGTTTTTGTAGTTGAAATGAAAATTATAATTTATTTTGGTCCTAATAAAAATTTAAACATAGGTTATCAAAGAGTAAAATACATAATAAAACTTCATAATCTTAAATCGTTATCAAAAATTATTAATGGTAAAACTTCAAACAATAAATAGATTCTTAAACAAATTTCTAGTTTTTGTTTTGCAAAAGACTTTTTTGCCTTTATCGGTTGCTTCTGCCACTTTTCTTTTAGTAGTTTCGAGGAGAATTTTCCTATGGAAACTAGTAGAACCATCAATTGATTGGTAAAATTTTGATATTTTGAGTCTGGTAAGTCTTGTTAAATTTTCTTCTTAGGAAGCTGTAACCTAATGGAGAACAAAAATTTAATGTTAGATCAAAACCTCTTAATTGAGAATTATATTTGCAAAGGCCGTTTTAATAATATATTCAAAAGTTCTTGGAATCGTTGTTAACAGAAAGCTGCAAAAAATATATCATTTTATTCCTAAAATATAAGATATCACACAATGCACATTCATATAATATCATTGTGCTAGAAAAATACTAGGTAGGTACTGAGACAATTTAAAAAAAGTATTTCGGGAAACTCAACTTTTAATGTCATCATTGTACTTAACTTTTTTATTGCTAAATTATTAATAATGTCGTTTTGTGTAGTTCGTTGTGATTTGTATAATATATATTATAAAAACCTATCGTCAAAGTTAATGTGCCAAGTTTTTTAATAATTATGTCCTTGTTATAGTAAAAACACATTTTTAAAGTTTTCTGGATTTATGCTTTAAATTATTGTACAATTGAACTGACTAATTTTGTGTTTAAGTAAAGGTATATCTCTTTTTTGTTATAACAGTCTTCGTATATTGTTCTAACTTTTAAGATAATCAGAGAAAACAGTAAGACATCTTAATATATCCTATTTCACAAACAAAAATATAGAATAATTAATCTCATATCAAACGAAAAAAGTCATTTTAGGATGTCCTAATAGGTTTTAACTTAAAAACTAAATAAAATGTATATTGCAACTGTGTTTAAATAAATGAATGTTTTTATACCTGACTATAGTACCAGGCAAACATTTTTTTAGATCATAATGATCTGCATAACTCAAAATAGTCAAAATCCACATTATTTAAGTTGTTCTAGTATTGTTTTAGCATAACGATGTAAACTCCAATAATAAATATTCACATTATTTTGGGACGTTTTTTAAGGAAATTTAAAAAAAACATGAATAATGTGATATTCTTGTTTAGTATTGTACTATATAATATAGTTCATTAGGTAGTGATTTAGAAGCAAATTATGTTCTATTTATAGAATAAAAAATCGCTCATAATATCTAAATATTTATACCTATTTATATTTTGGACAGGAAGACTATTTTATGTTTTTGGCTCTGAATAGTTTTCTTAAGAATTTTAAAACCTTCCTTAGATCTTTTGGGATATTCCATGCATATCTTAGAAGTTCATTTTGTTTAAACCTAAAACAAATTAAGTACAAAAAATGAAAATTTAAACAATACACAAAATTAGTCTTTTAGATTATTTAAAAAAAAATGTCAACAAAAAAATGGCTATGCCTTTTTCCTTAAACATTCTTTTTGAAATAAACTTACTTGCTGTTTTAGTATTTTAGTAGCAGATGAATATAGTGTAGAAGTAGTGACAGGATTGATTATTATACTTCATTCGTCGTTGCATTTTTCTTTAATATTTTCCTCCCCTGAGGTCTATAATAAAAATGTTCATTAGCATAAAAAGTTATTCAGGTGGTCACTTGTTGAATTCCTATATTTTGGAACCATGTATTTATTTCTCATATCAAGAAAAGGAAACCTAAAAAAATAACAATAAACTTTACAAAGATGTGCTATTAAAATAATAAGTAATTAACCTTTACTATAATCATTATGAGACAGACGGATGAATACGAACTTAGCTGGAGTTTACTTGCTCTTAATTTTAATTTTTCGATAAGCAAATAAGAAAGTTTAATTGCAAATTAAAGGTGATTGCCTGATGCACCGCCTCTGATAATTAGGTTGTGTCTGTACTTACTTATATTATCTTGAAGAAGCATTTTCAACAGGCCTTTTACACATAACGCATGTTTTTACCATATTATTAGAGATAATAAATCTTAAATATACATTTACAACCCTTACAACGTTATAAATAATAATATTTTCCGTAAAATACAAATAAGCAAATTGACATGTATTTGAAAGTGTCAGAACTGGCGCTCACAGAACACTTCTGGCGCTGTCAAACTTGGCAACGCTGATTAAATAAGCCAATTACAGAAGAGGTATTTTCCCCCTCGGGGGGAGTAGATGTTGCTAACAAAATTTAGCGCGGGGAAGGGGGGAAGACTCCCTCTAGTAGTAATTGCTCGGAGCTGCATACGGTGTTCAAAATACATGGCTTCTTATGGGAATTATACATAATTTTGTCAAAATAATAAATATAAATTTGTTTATAGCTAAATAAAGCACAGAACATACTGTTGTATTTATTTCTAAATAAGTCTTGCATGTTTTAATTAACAAATTATTTAATTTTATCTATATAAAATACAAATTAGGTATGTATGACCAAATTCGAAAAGGTTGAAATTTGATAAGTACAATTTTGTGTCAATTTTTTTTTGTATTGGACCAATATAGAGTAAAATAAAACGCAGTTAACAGATTTTTTATTGTTGTAATACAAGTATAAAGGGAGATTTCGGAATGTACATGTATTACCTCATCCTTTAATTTCAGCTTTCCCCTTTTTATTTTGCTAACAGTACCATCAGTAAAAATAGTCTCATAATATTTGATAATATCTTCTAAAAAGTATAGAACAGCATCACCTCTAGAAAGTGCTTTATCGGCACTACGAACGATATATATGCTGCCACTGTTCTAAACGTTTAGTATCCTATAAAAAACATTTACAATGACACAATTGGGGTACAAAAAAAATAACAGTAGCAACTCTTTTTCATGGAGGTATAATACTAATGGAAATGCCATGAGGCAATTGTTTTGCATATGATACGTTTTATTAAAAATGACCCCACTGGGCGTGGCTTAAATGGTTGACTAAGCAGGGTCGTATTCAAATGTAATTAAAGTCCGTATGCAGAATTACAACTTTTAAATGATTTACTTACCTAAGATTTGTTTCAACATGATCGATTCGAAATTAATTTGATGACATTACGCAATTATGACTTCTACACTATTTACTATTATTTATTAACCGTTTTCCGACCAAGCCAATGCCAAGACCATAAAAGAGATTAATATTATTATATTGTTCTGTCTTCGCCGAAACCGTCCGATATATGACCTGTGTGATCGAAAATCAACGTTCGAATAACACTGTGCATCAGATTTGTTAATCTCTTTGTGCTTTAAAACTAAAACCCGAACTACGATTTTTCGTTCAAGGACTCTCTTGTCTTGATCAAAGCTGCCAATGTCAAAATCTGACAATGAGGAGAATTATGACATCAAATTACCAAACCAAAAACCAAACCACTACGTGAATTGTGAATAAATATATTTCAGTAAAAATACAGCCGAGTTTGTAGAAAGGACAATTAATTACTTTTAAATGTAAAACATGTAGGTCTTTCTGCTGCAGATGACATACATTAAAAATATGACCCGCTACAGTCAAAAGTTTAAAAATACCAAAAATTCAGCTAGGTATGACTTTATGGTTAAAAGTAGATGGAAGAAAACCATGATCAAAACTACTCTGTCAAAACCAATCGGAACTAAAAAGACTCAGATAATAGTGGTTGGTTTTATTTAAGTTTGAAATAATTAATTATATAGGGTAGGTAGATATATTACTAAAATTGCAAGCAAGTACTTACTAAAGATTTCTATAATTGGTACCTATGTATAATAAACAACAATCTCACAGATGCACAGCATACAACTATACAAATGGAATTACAGAGATAATTTATTTTAAAAATAGGCATTCAGTTGCGATTTGTGATTACAAAAAGAAAACTTTAACCACTTTTTCTGATCAGTAATGTTAGTGTTGTAATGAAAAAGTTTCTAGAAACTGGTATTTTTAATCCTAATAAAGCATTGTGAATTTCCAAGAAAATTGCATGATGAAAATTGTTTTGACCAACATTTTAAATGTTATGCCATTTAAAAAGAAACCCTGTGGCTGTGGATAACATTTGACACAAAATCTTATCCTAAAAATAACTGTTTGGTTGCATTGGAGGAATAATTTCTTCATTGGTACTTTTTTAGGGTGCAAGTATGACTTGACATTAATAAATTTAAACCTTTGTTTTAAGTTGTCTTTTTGCTTTAATTTCTGATACACCTGTATTGTACATACTTGAAAAATATAAAATTGTTCAAGTGGGAAGTTTATATACAAGGTGTCTCATTGAGAAAGGGATACAGAACAACTGAAGAGTCTGATTAAAAATAAGACTATGCTTAGAATGCGAATATTCTTCATTTTAATTTTGAAGTTTCTTATAAGTTTCCAACAAAAGTACCTATATGATTTACTTAAAAACATCAAAAAATATGTAATTATAGTTCAAATAAGTGTAACGTATCTTATGACACCAAAAACTTTTGCCAAATTTGGTAAAATTATAGGTAACTCTTCAGGTTTTCTGTGTCCCATTCTTAATGAGACACTACACATTTTTTTTATTATTCATAAAAATATTTATTGACCTTTTGTTTTGATGTCTTATGCTAGCAGCTTTATTAACTCTAGTTTTAGTGAGATATGTTAGTCGGATACTAACATATTTATGAATAGAGCACAACATGCTATTCGGTTTAGGCACAAATTGGTCTTTTCCCACAAATTAAGACCAAATTTTGAGATATTGTGGGTCTTTTGGAAACCTATAATAAAAAAAAGTTAAGCATTCTAAAAAAAATTCTAAGAATTTTCTTACGCTCTTTCACTGAAGAGTTTTTAGAATTAATTTTGGCGCACATTTAGTCATGATTTTTATACAAATTAATCAAAAAAAAAAACACTTATTAAGATAGAAATAACGTCGAAATATTTAAATTTGAATAAAGTTCTGACAGCTCTTTGACAACTATGACATGACATGACTATGACATGACCATCTCCATAGTATTCAACCTCATTTCTCTTTATCTAACATTAAAACTCTATAAAAAATAAATTTTACTGTAACTGTAAAATTTTATATTATAGAAACTTGTAATAAAATGAACTACACTTCGTAAGATACATATTGTGACTAATTTACAATAAATATTATATTTAGACATGAATACATTATTGTACTTACATTAGAAGCTTCAAAAAGACATTGAATTGATTTCTTCTTGTGTTTTCTTTAGTTTTACATTTATTTTTATTCTGTTTTACAATCTGGAACAACGTAAATCTTGCTTTAATATTTTTTGCCACTTATGTTACTTGTACTCAAGTACTTTTTTTTACATTATTTTGATTCTTTTCACAAATTTTTTAAAAAATCACTTGATTTTACATTAACTTACATAGAAAATTGACTCCGTTGTCAATAGACATGCCAACTACAGTCAAAAAGAAGAACGGAAATTTGAAATTTGACCATTGTCGATTCGCCTCCTTCTCTCTAGTCTTCATAGTTAACATAAAACCATAAACATTATTTATTATTTAACATTCGTGCAAATAATTCCCGAATTTTGGAAAATTTCACGTATTAAGGTATTTTGGTTAAAATTTATTCATATCTAAAATATGTATTTATGTAATTTTTAGGTTGGAATTACGCAAGTTCATGAACTGCCAGGCGTTGGAAAAAATCTAAAGAACCACGTTTCGTTTAGAGTTAAGTATTTTTTGAAGAAAGAAAAGAACTATGTAGATTTGGATTGGGCTGCAGCTCTAAACTACATCGTTAATAGAAAAGGACCAATGACATCCATAGGTAATTAAAATTTTATTTGTCGTATTTATTTATTTTTACTTTCCTATCTGTATACAGATAAGAAAAGTATATTTATTTATTTATATATTTACGGGCAAGCCCATTTAGGTAACAATAAGTTGATAAAAATTACATTGGTGTATTTTGAATGTTGTGCTTAAATCTATTTACAGAGGAATCAAATATTATAATATTATCCAGAGAATTTGCCAGTCTAAGTATCCGAGGAATACAACTGTTAAAAGTACTATTAAGTCTATAAAAAGGAATATAAAATAATTGTTATTACCTGGTATTACGAGTAGGAACAAAAAGATTAATTTTCGATAGAATTTCAGGACAATCATATCTTCCATTAACAATATTAAAAAGTAAAATCAGGTCTCTATGTTTTCTCCTGGTTTCCAGAGATGGTATTTCTAAAAACTGCTCCATTGTAGCATAATCATAAAACGTTTGTAATTTAAAGGCTATATACCTAAGAAAATTGTTCTGAACACGATCGATTTATACGTTACATGATATTGAAGAGCAATAGTCGAGGTGACTCCTAACTAAAGTAGGTACAATAAAGAGTTTTAATAGCAGTTATATCAGTGAAGTCGCGGGTCGTTCTTTTAATAAATCCTAACATTTTCATAGATTTACTTGTAACTGAAGAGATGTTGTGGTTAAAGCTAAGGGTTGTGTCAAAAATAACTCCAAGATCTTTAATTTGTTTAGCACTATCTAAAAGTTGGCCATTGATTTTGTAGTCAAATATAGTGGTCTGTTGAGAATGATGAAACCGAATAATGTGACATTTTCCCACATTTAAATCCATGCTATTGTATTTGTACCAATCGGATAAATGATTAATATCATCGATAGCTTTTCTAAAGTTGTTGACGATTTGGAAAAATTTAAGGTCATCTGCAAAAAGTAAAAAATTACAGTGCCGAAAACAAGAAGTTATATCGTTGACAAACAAAATAAAAAGAAGGTCCCAGATGAAAACCTTGGGGAACTCCAGAAGTAACAGAGTAATGATGAGAATAGTAACGTTTTACTTTGACTATTTGAGTTCTATTAAGAAGGTAGCTTTTAATCCATTGCAACAATATGCCATCTAAACCAAATTTACTTAGTTCGTAAATTAATAATTCATGGTTCACTCTATCGAAAAGTTGGTGTATACGGCATCTACCTGACACTCCATTTCCAGGGCTTCCGAAATAAAGTTAGCATAGGCAACCAAGTTCAATTCTGTTGACTTGCATGCGCGAAAGCCAAATTGTTGCGGAGTTATAATACTAGCGCAGTCATAAGTTAAGTAGTCCGTTATGATGCATTCAAAGAGCTTTTTAGATTATGCTAAGTTTAGATATGGGGCGGTAGTATTTAATGTCACATTTTTTACCTGACTTGTATACTGGTGTCACATATGAGAGTTTCCAGTAATCCAAAAATAAAAAAAAAAAAACAGAGGAACAGACAATATAAAGCTGCAGTTTTTCAGGAGTGAGGGGGGAATAGCATCAGGACTCGGTCCTTCTCTTGTATCAAGTTTAGTTAACTTCTCGTAAATTGTTGAAATTGGAATATGATATGAGCATACGCTAAGTTTCGATTCAATGTTATATTCATACAGATCGATATTTGATTGGTGTAGACTAAAGAAAAATAGTCGGCAAATAAGTTTCAAATCCATATGAATTCATTTTATCTGGAATAACAATATTCTCTTTTTTGGTGAAGGCTTTAATATTACTTTTAACATAGGTTTGAATAGAGTTTACATAACTTGAATAACGCTCTTTGGACAAGAGTTTACAGCGAATTCTCAGACAACTAAATAAGGCATAACTCTCAGCAGATTTCGTACTTTTAAAAATATTATGATCAATCTTCTTATCATAAATCAGCTTTCTAAGATGCGGTGGATACCAGCATGGAAATTTTTTTATTGATATTTTTTTAAGTGGAACAAATAATTCCAATGCTGAATACAGTGCCTCGTAGAAAGTATTTACCATATCAAAGAGTTCTTTATTACGAAGGAGTGTGTCCCAGTCAATGGCTTCAAAATACTGGCGTATGGCAGTAAAATCGGTATTACGAAAGTCGTAGTAATATTCTGCATCGTGCGTAGTGTCGATATTAGAGGAGTGACTTTTGAATATTTTGAGTTAGCAGTCAATATCACTTATTAGGGACCAAATACATCCCATGCAAACATCGGGTTGAGCAAAGCGCATTTAATCATACCAGAAACACGGCACAACAATTCATGGGCCAAGCATTTGGCAATAATTCCACAACCCAACTGACCATATTGCGATATTTCCAAAGGCAACTGTACAAAATGCGATAATTCCATTTTCTTTAAATAATTCCGGGTTCTCTGCTTTAGTATGCTTTGAACTGTTCACAGTACAGGTTGTTTTTTTTTGTGATCACTGGAAATTAAGTCTAAAATATCGGAAGCAGAAAAAAAGTCCCGAAAATCTCAAACAAGCAACTGAAAAGGGAAAAAAGGTAAATAGCTTTTTATATTTTAAGGTTATGTTTTTTTAATTTGTAAATAACAGATAGTTAGAAAGTAACTATCTGGTTTTTACAGCTATTAGTAACTGTTATTATTGTTTTAGATTCAATGACAGAGATTCTCTTTTAAAAAAATTTAAAAGGCCATGCAATCACGATGGTAACAGTTTTAGATGTAACAGAATTAAGCGAAGTGATATTAAGTTTATCAAGAATCAGCTCTATGCTACTTCAAATAAATTAGAGCAGAACACAATATTGAGTTATATGATTACTATTGGTCCTATCGAGAGAAGAAGGTCTGTTAAACCAAATCCACGAGCAAGAAACTTTAGTACTATGTTTCACATGAAACCCGAACATTCAAAAAGGCGCAATCGAGTGTGTTTAAAGTTTTTTAGGGCAGCCTTGGGCATCACGAAGGATAGAGTCAATCGTTTGTGTAAGAAAATTGAGGCGTTTCCCTGAAAGATAGGAGAGGTGGCGATAAAGTATCGTATAAGTCCCACGATAAGAAACAGAAAATTATTGAGTTTATAGGTAACTTAAAAGGCCGAGAAAGTCATTACAATAGGTCAAAATCTAAAAGAATATATTTGGCCCCTGAAGTGAGTATCGCCAAGTTGCATAAAATGTACAACTCTCAATGTTAATCCTACTGACCATTGCAGTCTTACAATGTTTAAAGATATTTTCCGAACAAAATTCAATATTGGATTTTCTTCACCAGCATCGGATTCCTGTGCTTTTTGCACCAGAATGAGACACAAAATTAAAATTGAGAAAGATGCTAACAAAAAGAACGATTTAATGATACAACTGCGTATCCATCAAAAAAGAGCCAACGCTTTTTATAAACTGACCAAACAGACGCCCTTAGAATCACTGTCCTTCTGTTTCGACATGCAGCCTCTACCAAAAACTCCCATAAATGATGCATTTTATGCACAGCAAATTAGTTTTTATATATTTTGCTGTGTTGATATGAAAGCAAAACAACCAACTTTTTTCACGTGTACGGAGGAAATGGCAGGAAGAGGTTCAGTGGAAGTGGCTTCAGCTCTTTTAGAATACCTAAATTCTTTAAATTTGGCTGGTATAAAATTGCTTCGGCTTTTCTGTGATGGATGCGGTGGACAAAACAAAAATTCGCATCTAATTCATGCATTATATTTTTAGCTTAAGAAAAAATCACCCGCTCATTTAACAGAGATTTTGTTAACTTTTCCAGTAAGGGGACATAGCTTTTTGCCAGCAGATAGAGTTTTTGGTAGAGTCAAAAAAGAGTTAAGAAGAATAACAAGTATATAGTTAAAAGAAGATTACCAAGAAATTTATACCAAATTTGGAGAGGTAAAAAGTCTTGGAACTGACTGGCTGCTTTGTGACATAAAAGCGCTTCAAGCTAGTCATATCTGATATGAAACGTATTAAGTTGCGAAAAAGTAATACATCGCTAACTGTCACGTGTTAAGAAAATTTTATATTTGAAAGCTCCACTGAAACTGAAAAATCGTTATTGAAGAAAGGAAAGAAAGACGGACAACTAAAACTAGAACTATTACCCTTAGGGAGAGACATTAAAGACAAAAAGAAAAAATCTCTGAAGAATCTATGAAAGCAAGAATTCGGTGATGAATGGAAAGAAGAGGAAGATTTGATTTGGTACCGGAATATTTTGAGCACCCTAGGTGCTGAAAACGAGAAGAATGAAGAATCGGATCATAATGAAGAAGAAACTTGTGATTGTCTAGAAGAAGATATAGGTGTTCGGATTTAGCTTTGATTATTTTGTATTTTCAGGACTATAATATGTTTTTTTTTAATAAAAATATGTGTTTCTCATAGCTTTCTTATTTGTTTGTACTTTTTTGTCCAAAACTCAATAAATCCATTTGCCATTTACCCAGAGCACGATAAATCCATTTTGACTGGACAAAAGACGATAAATCCTTAGCGTGACTGATCAAATTACGATTAATCCATTACTAAATGTGGTCTAATCCCTTTTGTAATAACTGTAGTATCAAAATTACTTTTTACATTCATGTGTACAAGTATTCAAAGCAATTTCAACATACATTTTTAGCTCAACTAAAAAAAGCTTATATTTCCCAGGTTTTTTGCATTTTTTGTAAAATAAGACATTTGTGATTTATCGCGTTTAGCTTAGTCACTCCTTTGTCTTGTATTGAAGAGTAGTTTCAAGCGGCGGGTGGTGAGCATCAGGTGGAATCAGAAAATCGATAGCCTTGCAAACAGTAAGTTCAAATTGGGAAAGAACAAGATTAAAAATAACTCTCCTTTCGTTAACAATTTTGTTTGATTGGAAGGGGTTTTGGGAAGCACAAAGGTTTGAAATAGTCTCTATAGCCTCAGTGTCTGCTTGTGATGAGAAATGAGATAAAGATATTTTGGATATTTTATAAAATATATCTTTTATTTACGTTTGGAGAAGAAAATTCTTTAAATAA